ACCGTCAATTAAAGGTAGGCAACGCATCTGCAATTACGGATGTTTATGGGCAGCGGTCGCTTTCCATTTCGGTGGATTTGTGTGGCCGCTTGCTCGTTTGCCACCTTATATTATAAAAATAAAACCAACTAGTGTCATATTAGTATAATTAAAAGGGATACCAGTAAAGTAGACTAGTAGTGCTCGCAATCAGCGCTAGCATGACAAAATGTAAACACTATACACATTTGATTTTCTTTATTTGAAAATCACCTGTTTCAGTTTTCTTTACCTTTTTGAAAAATGTAGTTAATAGGAATTGGTTCATAATATGTACTAACCTAATATGTATCCCACCATTGACATAACAGCAGTTGTGCGTATATACGCCGATCTAGCTTGATACCTAAAATATGGAAATAAATTTTCTATATTAGAGTATTAAATTTACTTAGTTGTGCATTCCTATTTAGTAAAGTTCTACATATAGCACTTTACTAAAACGAGACTATATTTGCCCTTTTTTCGTTATTTTTTGCATATATTTTTAAGTAGCTTTCACCCGCGACTCCGTCCTTGCGAATTAAAAAACACTTTGTAAGTGGCATATGTATTGTATGTATGTATGTATGTATGTATGTATGTATGTATGTATGTATGTATGTATGTATGTATGTATGTATGTATGTATGTATGTATGTATGTAAGTATGTATGTATATTCTTCTAGATTATTCAACATCTGTACCTTTCATCGAGATTCGTTGAGGAGTTTAGGCTACAAACTCTAACATGCATGCATCCAAACTTTCGCATTAATAATAATGTGAGATACTAACCATCCATAAGGATCAGAGAAGACTCGTCTGAACCACTCCTGGAAGACTGGAGGATGTTTCTTCATCAGATGTTGTTCAAATATCCGTCGCATTTTTTCCAACGGGTCGTTTTTAGAACACATTAATTCTTTCAACTCTCTATTTGTAGTATGAATTCCTGTACAAAAAAATAATAATTATATAAACATTTTGCAAGTGTTTATTTTATTATTCAGTGGAAATGGGTCTAGAATTATTTTTAGTTTGGATGGATGGATGGATGGATAGATGGATGGATGTTTGTTAGAGTTTGTAGCCTAAACGACTGAATAGATTTTGATGAAATTTGTTACAGATATAGATGATAGTCTGGAAGAACACATAGGCTACTTACTTTTGTTTTTTTAATTCCACGCGGACGGAGTCGCGGTCGATAGCTAGTAATATTATAAATGCAAAAGGATGGATGAATGTTAGAATTTGTAGCCTAAACTGCTGAACGGATTTCAATTAAATGTGGCATAGACGTAAAGTCTGGAAGAACACATACTCACTTTTGTTTTTTTAATTCCATGCTTTGTAGTCTCGGGAGAAGACTAGTGCTAAATATAAGATTTGTAGAAGGGGTTACCTTTCTGTTTGTATATATGCAGCAGTATGGGCCTGAGGCCGAGCAGGTGCGGCACCCA